GTCATCACCATTTCTTACTTCTGATAAGAACTCCAGTGACAAGAGCGCCAAATTACTTTTGCATGTGCAAGCTCTGAGCAAGAGATAAAATGTATCATTCAAATAAGTGAAGCAGTTTAAGATGCTGTGATCCAAAGAGCCGGCAGTGGTACCGCTTCTTACTCCAGCAACCCAAAGGATTAATGATTCAGAAAGACACTCGCTGATTTTATTATATGACTTTCTGCAGACTCTCCGTGGATTAAAGTTTTAAATTCTAAGTCTGTAATATTTGAGGTCAGCTGAGTTTAGAATGGAAAACTTCCTCCCAGACTCCTCAATAAACCTGTCAGTGTTGATATGTGAACATCTGCTTGACATAAATCTTAAAAGATTAAAAGATTAGGAAGTTTAAAATTAGGAATTTTAGGACCACTTAGAGAAAAATCAAAGACTATCCAATTCAGTGAGATTGATGCTAATAAAATGCTAAAACCTTCTTAATAATTAGCTGGCCGTCATGATGTTATTTACCATAGCCCATAAGCTAACTTCATATCAAAGGCCTGTGAGGAATATCACTCACTTTTCACTACAGTATATTAGGTGAATTAGCGCTCTTGGTTTTCTGTTCTTTTCTTGCAGCAAAAGGTTGCAACCTTAACATGGTGCTACCCAGTGTTATCCTACTAGAGTCACTAATGTTTCACAAAAACAGACAGCCCCTGGTCTTAAAATAGATGAAAAAAAGGAAGTGCCAGTTTCATAGAGGTTGGTTTAAGGAAATGACAGTCACTTTTACTAACAATAAAGATCTTTAGATCCACTGAAACCCTACTTGATTAAGACAGACAGAGAGAGAGAGAGAGAGAGAGAGAGAGAGAGAGAGAGAGAGAGAGAGAGAGAGATGTGTGGGCACCATTCATAAAATTGATGTTGTGCAAAGAAAGGAAAGGAAAAAAAGCTTGAAAAAAATATCCATTATGGTTTGCATTTATGTAAAATATTGACCATAGATCATTATTGATGCCAAAGAACAAAAAAGAAAGAAAAACAAGTATTGCTTGTGTGGTAATTCAGCTATTAATGCACAATTTACACCACAGTAAGCAACAGTAGATGTGAATGCAGGTGTGTAAGATTTTAGTGAGGTCATGTTATTTGTATGCTCATTCACATCTCGTTTTGTGCTAATAACCAGTCAATTCTTCTATTAGTTCATCAACAGAAAACCACCTGATTTCTGGCTGGGGGGGATTTTAAGACCTCACCATTAACCAGCTCTGGGAACCTGGAAATAATAACAAAGTTGTACTCATTGCTGTGCTCATCTGCAGAAGTGAAGTAAAACCTGCAGCCATTAAAATCAAATCTGCTGCAGCCACACAAAACTGTCATTGCTACCCAGCAGCACTCAACCCACTCATCTGGGCCGACAACAAGCTGCCTCAGGTGTAGCAAAGGGGGTGTTTAGCCCTTAGGGAGGGGCCCTGCAGGTTGTCATGAGTGCACCTTTGGGTGTATTAAACATTAAACATGGCAGGGCAGAGAAGAATGCTTGTGTATTTCCGTGCAGACTGAAAATGTGTAACTACATACCCCCAAACTGCCCCTAATCTCAAAATATCCATAGATGCTTCTCAGTCTTTTTGGTTTCCCAGCTGTGGGTACCACAGTGAGATCCACTGTCCCCCTAAAGCTGTCTGCGCAACACAGGCAGCTTTCACAGCTCTGACTCCCCTCTGAATATCAATGAAAGGATACAGCTAACTATCACATGACAAATGGTCATCATCAAGATTTAATCCCACCGCAGTAGCCGACAAAAGCTCGTTTCCACAGGCTGACAGGCGTGTTTTAGTCGGGTCCGTGTCGCTGTAAGTTTGTGCTGCTTTGTCCGAGCTATATATCTTACAAATGGTTAAACCTGAAGAACCAGTTAAACCATACTTTCTTGTAACACAGACCAAACCTCGGGGCCAACTTCGACCTAGCACTCTAAATGAGTTAATGTGCTTGCGATGTCTAATTCCTGCAACTAACGTAAACACCGACCACAGAACAAGCAGACAATTCCATAAAAATGGTTACAAAGACTACATAACGTTAGTAGTATACATACCTATGTTTTGGTAAATGACACTTTAAGAAACGCGTGATAAGAGAAGCAAGTGGCTTATTAGCTATTAACAGCATTCCAAGTAATACACGGAGCCATTCTTACCGTTCTCTGGGACATCCGTTGCCAATGTAGCTCGACTTCAATGTTCCTCTTCCCCTTTTAAATCACGTCTTTTCTAAATGGGATTTTTTCTTTTGGCCGACAGCCCGTGTAGAGTGTAAAAGAAGAGTAAGAAATATACTAAGTTAAAAAAAACACAATTTTCACACTGTCTTTGTCTGCTAGGATGTGTTTTGCCTTCTGACGCCGGGCTTCACTGCATCAACCTCGTTAATGTTGACCAGCTAGCTACATAGCTAATCACCTAGCTATCTGTCAAAACAGCGATTTCAGTCAGCCGTTCAAGAGAAGCGAGTATTTTCCGCTGCTTCCATGACAGGAACTGCTCCGTCAAACTAGCCTGACAAGGGCTTCATGGGGTGGAATAAAAAGTTCATTAGTCCCCCATGGAGATGACAGCTCCTCAGTGCTGTAGCTGGCTGAATGACTAACCGCACAGTACGCGAAAATGGCGTTACCCGGCACCCCCCTGCTCCTCTGGCAGCACTGATGTCATCCAGGCCAGATTAAAGGGAAAGCTGTGGTGCGAGTTCAGGCTCCATATTTATTACCGGAAAAACAAGAAGCACAAAGTGCATGGTGCACAATACTCCAATATATCTACTTAAATAAAAGTAGCCTATCCCTATAATGGTAAAATTGTTAAATTGGAGGTTAATTAGATATTTTATGGTAGAGGTTAGAGGTAGGTGGATCGATCCAAATATTTGAATTGTGTCGAATAATTATTTTATTTATTTGGAAATAAAAAGGAAAAACATCAAACATGTACTATGAAATGTTTGTCCCTCTTTGTGTTAACTGTCACTAGTTTTTTGTAGCCTACAATACAGTTAACCCAAAGTGCTTTAGAGACAGACACGTTTACATTCCAGGTCTCAAAAATATTTAGACCAAATGATTCATCTGGAAAATAACTGTCCATCCATCTTCTGTTAAGGGGTTGCAGGAGGCTGGAGCCTTTCCCAGCTAACATAGGGCTAAAGGCGGGGTACACCTTGGACAGGTCCTTGTCTGTCCCAGGTCTTATAAAGAGAGAGAGACAGATAACCATTTACACTCACATTCTTTAATTTCTTGTATTTATCGTAGGTGGTCAGCACCGATCTCACTGAGAGGATATCACAGGTTGTCTTTGTTTTGACACAAACTGGGTGTAACAGTTGAATCTGCTTTATAATGTATCTATAACCCCCTGCACCAAGAAAAAAAACAAAAACCCTCTTGACCAAAGAGACCGTGACATAACAATCCATACTTTAAACTATTAAAACATGATGAAAACTATTAATTAAAAAGAAATACCTCACATGTTTTGCTTTGCTTTATTTTTTCCAGAATAATTTACAGTCATTTGCAGAGTCTGAATAAACATGAAGCAGTAACAGAAGTGACAAAAATATAGCCAAGGCATTTGATATTTTGACAGGAGGGTGGGGGTGTGTGTATTTTCTTTGCTATCAGCTGGTAGGAGTGCCGTTTTTCTTGCTGCTCTGTCTTTCCGTAACTGTCCTCCACATACTGTTTAGGGTGACTCGAGCCAAGAGCAAGGTGATGGTAAAGTTACGTCTGTACCATTCCCTGGATACACAAAAAACAGAATGTTTCACTTTGCACAGTGTAATAAATATGCTGATATAAAGATTCAAACGGGCAAATGCACAATAACACCCGAAGGAAGAAAAGGGAAACATTTGTGCTTTGATGGAGTTTAAATTGAAACGACAATAAATATAACAATCAAAAGTCAGAGATTAAATCCCACACATGCTGCTGAGGTGATGTGTGTGGGCGGAAAGCTTTGCCAACATGAAGACAAGTCAGCCACTTTGCATTGCTAATTCACACAAAACTTCTTCATAGCCTGTGAGGTTTGTTGTTCTTTGCCGATCAGTTAATGCAGTGCAGTTAAAGCTCACAGCTGCTGCAGAGGGACATTGAACAACCCAACCACCCACCCACTCACTTACTCACCCACCCAGCAGCATCATGGGAGACAGAACAACTCACTTGTTGTAATTTGCATGTCGTACTCTGTTTTTGTCCAGGAAGCTTTTGTAAAACGTGGCCATCTCTTCGCTGTTCAGGGACCGCCGTCGTCCTGAGGGAAGACACAGCACACTGTGTTATATTCTCATTAGGATACATCTCCCCTGCAATTCACCAGCTGTTAGAAAAACAAACTGCTGTTTACTGCGCCTCCTGAGGGGTAGGTTACGAAGCAAGTTCAACAAAGCCAGGGTTTCTTTGTGTTGGCTGACTTGACCAAAAAAACCTCAGTCAGCGATAGTAGGCATCACACCAGTGGTTATTAACTCTCTCTGGTAACCCCGGTTTTCTGTGCTCACATAAAAAGGGCTGTCTGATGTGTTTTTTGACACTTCAGACGGCACCGGATGGGTCAACTGAGCACCACTTACTCCAAATCAGAGACATTATCACATGAATGGGGGATAGAGGTCTATTAACAATGTTAAATAAATGCAGTAAAATGCAACCCTGGTGCTGCAAGTATGAGTAATGCAGCAGAAAATTGTCAATTTAGTGTTTTGATCATCACAAGAGCTCAAAGCTTAGCTTCAATGTTTATCTCTGATGTCACAGCCACACATCGGTGCTCTCGCTGTGTTCAGCTCTGACAATTCACCCACAGCCTAACGAAGGAGACGTGGGATTACTTTTAGGGATTACGTGGGATAGATAACTATTTATAAATTGCTACACTTTCATATATTTTTAAAAAATGTATAGCCAATGAAAAAAAAAAAAAAAAAACACCAACAAAAAACTAAACATTTTCTGCATCGTCATCCAAATATGAATATTTGGAAAGTCCAGTGATAATATGATGTAGTTTGAATTATCTCTAACCGCACAGCTGGGCTTCATTCTGCAGTCTTAAGCTCTACAGACTGCAAATATTTGTATTCATTTAGCAGAGACTCAATATTGTGTTTGTAAGACACTGTAACTAAAAGAATTTGCGAAAACTTTAAATCGAAACTCTAAAAATAAACCGGTACAAACCAGGGATGTGGTCGGCATAAGTTACCATGGTGATCTAGCCAGGTATAAAGGCGGCCCCTTCACTTACATCAAGGTCGACTTACATCACTCACCCAGTAATCTTGTTTCATAGTACACCCATCTGAGCTGGTTAAATACTGTCTAAGTGCAAACCCAACCAACAATGTGAAATATTCAGAAAAGGCTGCATGTCCTCACCATCCTGATCGCGCAGAGTCAAGCCTTTTGCCTTCAGCTGTGAAATGATAAAAGCTTCTTTTTCCTGCAGACAGTGTAAAACAAACAAACAACAAATAAACCTTTTAAGATATAACTGTAACTTTAAATTAGGTCATTCTTAAAGTTAATTAAAGGGTCGTTAAATCAGATTTGGACTGGGGTCCACATAAAACCTACAGTCAATTATTCCTCACTGTAACCTCTTACATAGCTGGGCCCTAACAGAACACATTTGTTAAGCAATGCTGCCCTCTACTGGTGAAATGATTTTACACACATACGAGCTCAGCACACAGAGATTAATTACATCCACTGCTATTACAGTCTCCATTAATAATGATGGAAATTACAGCATGATTCTAATGCAAGTAGGAAGTTGGCAGGGCAGATAATGCGGTTAGTGGACTTCATCTTGTTTAATTTAATTTCCATTTTATTTTTAAGAAAAGTGAACTAACAAGCCGACAGGGATCGCTCACCTGGTTTGGTTTTGTAACAGCTACAGATGAATTTTCTTCTAATATCAATTTGATTCATTGGATTTAAGCGGCAGTACGGCATGCCGGCATATGAAATAAATAGCAGCAGTAGCAGGACAATATGAATCATCATGGGGCGATCGTGGCTCAAGAGTTGGCAGTTCGTCTTGTAATCGGAAGGTTGCCGGTTCGAGCAGTCCGACAGTCTCGGCCGTTGTGTCCTTGCGCAAGATCCTTCACCCGTTGCCTACTGGTGATGGTCAGAGGGCCTGCCGGCGCCAGTGTTCGGCAGCCTCGCCTCTGTCAGTGCGCCCCAGGGCAGCTGTGGCAACAATGTAGCTTGCCGTCGCCAGTGTGTGAATGTGTGTGTGAATGGGTGAACGACTGAATGTAGTGTAAAGCGCTTTGGGGTCCGTAGGAACCAAGTAAAGCGCTATACAAATACAGGCCAACAATTACCATCATAAATATACATTAACTGTAATAAATTGGAAGACATCATCTTTATGCTCTCAGGACAATATCACAAACAATTTAGGAATTTAATTTAGGAGTAACTTTCAGTTTCTCTGCAAAGACTAAAGACTCCACTTCCTCTGTGGCTAAAGGTTTTCTTGGAGCACATCAACTTCCCACTCTTATTCATACTCTGAAATCACCTGCCCCACAATGAACCAACAACCGCTTCTATGCCTGCTTTACACCACCCACCACCTTTCAGCTTATTTTCAGAAGGGCAGAACAGCCAGCACAGTCTTAACTGATGATCTAACTAGCCTTAAATGAATTTTATTCTCTTCCAAACTACATGTCATGTGCTCAGATGACTTAAAAGAACCAATTTTATCACAACTTTCTATTTTTCTATGAAAATATTGACATCTCAGGAGGGATGTCGACTCACTTGAGTGTTTTGTTTTTGGGATTTGGGAATATTCTGTCTCCCTTCATTAAAATGAAGCTACCATAAAACGCGAGAAAACGTATAAATAAAGCAGGGGATCGAACAATTAAGTCCCCCATGGTATCTTTGTCAGTTTCCATCTCAACAGTTAAAAGCAGCACTATGCGGGCTTCTCTCTCTACACTGTGCTCCCTATTTTTAGACAATACCCCCCTTACCCTCCATAGGGACTGGCTTTTCACCCCACCTACAAATGAGACTTCCAAAAACTAGACAAACTAGTTTTCAGAGGCCAGTCCCTGACCCCAGAGAAACACTTTTTAAAAAGTATTTCAGTAACCTTGCTGAAGGTGATGTTCTGCTTGGCCCAGAAATTGTGGTTCCAGTCCTCTGTGTCCTGCCTCAGGTTTCTCAGCCGTTTCTCCAGCTCTGTTTCATTCTCCGGGATGTGGTAAATAATTGGCCGTATGTTGGAGAGCGAGTTTGGTGGACCGACCCAGTCATGTGTGGAGCTGGGTTCTGGTCTATATGTAGATCTCTATGTAAAAAAAGAAGACACTACTGTAACGATGGGTTCAGACAACACAGTATCAGCACAAAAATAACTTAACGGGAAAGATACAGGGTGCTAACACAAAAGTTGAGCGTAGAATTGCAGGTGACAACAGTCAGAAGGCTGAAGATGTCCCAAATTTCACCTATGCAAACCCCATATGACAACGATGAGCTCATCAGACACAAATACATGTAGTTTGAATTCCACATGCAAAGTTAGCATCACCAACACAGCCACATCTGTACTAATGAAAAATGCAGATATCATCTGGAACTCAGGTTTAAAGACAGTCTGGTAAAGACTGAAACTCCACACAGCAGATGCACATCACGTGGCTTTAAATGAGCAGTGACCTCCACCTTACAGCTTATCATTACCGAGCAGACTTCAAGATGGAAAGAGCAGCGAGGAATAAAAAACGCTCCAGGGCCAAGAGACGAAAAGAGAGGTAAAACAATCCAAATGCAAAACACTGGGTCAGCAAATTCAGTCTGATTACTGACAGGCATATCAATGCACGCTTATATGTAAAGCAGACGTATTTACATTTTTAAAGAAATACTGTATTATTAAACAGTTATTATTAAACATCTGCAGTTACAAACTACAACAAATCCATGTAATTTTGAAACTGTTAAAAAAAGTGAAATCTAAGACGATGTATTGCTGGACACTTCAGGTCTTAAAATATAACTTTAAACCATAATATATTGTTCTCAATTACTTTCCTACAAATACTTATACTACAACTGTATCATTAAAACAGACGTTGTAACACCGATTTAACCCTAATAAAGTCTAAAGCACTGCAATATATTTTTGTCAATAACACTTTATTTCCTGCAACGTTTAAATTTTTTTTAAAAACAGCTTATTTCGTACACACGTCTTTAATGTGGGCATAAAAAATGGCGCCACACGTGATCGTCAACAACAACCACCCAGCCGTCTATAGCTAACAAATGGCAGCCCTTTAAACAGTGTATAAATGTAATAAATTGTCATTATACAAACATTTACTGGCTTGTCCTTCTGGGTTGCCTGTTTGGAGCTGCAGAGCCGACTGCTACCTGCAGATAAGCGGAGACTGGAAGGACAGAAGCTCCTCCATGTCGACCGTCTCGCAGCTGCAGCTGTCCTGGCGGCCATTTTTGCAAGCCGACTCTAAAAAAGCGACTTAGATAAAACAAATCACGCCAAAAACCACTAAACAGCACAAGACTGAGCTCGAGGACACAACCAAACTTTCACTGAGCTCGTGCCCTTCTCTGTACAACTGCCTGCCATTTGGTCACGTGAGCCCAACAAGGAGCATGGATGCGCTCGGCAATCTCACCGGTAAATCCCGGATTCACTTAAAAAACGACAACAGAAAAAAGGTTTCTTGTCAGTTTAGGATATTCTTTAAATGTAAGACTACAGAAAGAGCCAAAACAGAAAGTAATGTGGGGAATAAATATATGTCTATGTTATCTATTTGTTTATTTATTTAAGCTTAAGTCACATTTTTTCCTTATTAAAAAATAAACGAATTGAAAAAAACGGCTGTAGGGGTAAAAGAAAAAAAAAGAGGTCAACCAGATTAGATGTTAGGAATATGCATATGTAGTCACTATGAAGCAAAAATCCCCACTATATTTATTTTTCTTTTGCTGCAGCCCTTCCTATGTATTGTATTATCATCATCATCATCATCATCATCATTATTATTATTATTATTATTATTATTATTATTATTATTATTATTATTATTATTATTTTGTATACTACTTCTAATACTATATTTCTAATACTATATTTATATACTATATTTCTTCTAATAACTATATTTCAGTGGTAAATGTTGCATGTTGTACAGCAGAGTCAGGTTGAGAGGGGAGCTGAGCTAAGGATAACAGGCTGAGGAGGAGGAGGAGGAGGAGGTTTGTCCGGATCCTGCTTGGAGCAGACGAAGTTGAGCAGGGCTCAACGTAGCTTGATAAATATCATTATTGTCGAATTAAACTTGAAAACCACATGGATTATCTGTGTAGGTTTCGCTATTAGTACTTTTACTCTCACAAAGTATCTAAATGCCTATTCCGTTCTGTTATTGAATTGTTGGAGATGCTAGATTGTTAGTTAGGTTGTTTTTTTTTACTACACAATAAATAATGCTCGTCAAACTTTTTTGTTAACTAAGTTAAATAGACTAAAGTAAAAGTTAAACAGTAGCAAAGTCGGGGTTTATCTTAGCACCGGTAAACGACGCGGAGTCATGACCAAATGAAGCGCGCCTATTGCTGGTCGACCAAAATTTGCACAAGGTTAAAAATAGTAAAGCTGTTTATCCGAATATTAACAGGATTATGCGATTTATTTTACATCCGCATATACGTGTCGTGCGGTAACTAAACATAGACTTGTATTTCTTATTTGTTAACATCAATAAAACACTGATGTAATGGCGTCTCTTCAATATTAGCGAGGAAACACAAACTCCGTGTTAGTTCATATCCTCACGAACTGTAAAGTAAGTACTCGAAGGTAGCTAGGTAGGCTAATGTTTAGCTTTAGTCACAGGAGGTGCGCACTTTTCCGCAACAGTTCCGATGGCTGTACGCTGGCTATGCAGGTAAGAGCGAAACTGTTAAAGAGAGGTGGCGGTGTTGATGTATTTACGCTGAAAAGCCAGAGTTATTTGGCTGAGGTGGGGCTGTGTCAGGTGATCATCAGTAGCTAGCTTAACACACTAACAATGGTATTCACAGGGGAGTGTCTGCTGTAAACCGGTTTTTGTAATGGCTGTTTCCATTTAAGCGTTTCATGAGTCCTTGGTAGCATATTTATTTTTAAATTAAGTTGTTTTAAAGGGCAGCGGAGGAAGGAATCTGGTGGTAGAGGCTGTGGGAGGGGCGACAGCAGCCCGACCGCAGTCAGTCAGTCACAGTCAGTCGCTGGATACTGAAGCTGACCGCAGGAGCATCGAGATCTCCCGGATTTCGGCTTTATCCCTTTGGATGCATCTTTCCTGCACGAGCCGCCCAGCATTTGGCTGATGGAAACAGACATCCGTGAAAATGTGCGCGAATGTGTTCGGGGTTTTGAAAAGGTGAGAGGAATGCTGCTGCTGTGTGTGTGTGTATGTGTGTGTGTATGTATCTAGCTGTCTGTGTATGTGTGCGTGTGTGCACGAGAGAGAAAGGATGCAGCTGACAGCATCTGGAGATGCTTTGAGCTGTTTTGTCGAGATCTGGAGGTGTGGTATCTGTGCTTCTTGTAGCGCAGCTCCGGCAACATACATGGGCTCTCAGAGGTAGATGCGTTCGCACGCAGGCGGCAGGACGGGATTTTCTGCGGTGACATAATGCGCAAAGCCGTGCAGGAGGACCGGCAAGCATGCAGGCAGCCGGGGATGGAGCTCGAAGCCTTTATCTGGGAGATAAGCAGGAGGTGTTGCATGCGTGTCACCTGCAGCTCGGTCACCCTTCATGCAGCGAGACTCATGGGAATGGAGGACTGATTCCCTCCCACGAGGGAGGCAAACCTGCCCTTAGCTTTGAAACCACCACATCAGCCTTGTCTGTCTTGGCTCAGACAAGGCAGGCTGTGGATTTTGCTGAGATTATCCTAATAAATACTCAGATTTGTAAGCTCTGGCCCGACATGTGCTCATCCACTCTTGTGGAAATGCCCATCCCCTCGCCCTGTTATGTAAAAGTACTTTAGGCAACATTGATACATAATCCTATCTATTGCTAATAAGCCTAATTGATGCTTTGGATAACAAGACATCATACTGGCGGCTACTGTATTTACATGTAATAATCATGCTGGCAGAGCTTTCCTTTCATGTCTGTGTGCTCTAGTGTTTAGCATAACACCGAGCCCTGGCTTGGACAGTCTCGGTTGTTGTGTCATTGAGCAAGACACTTGACCCGTTGCCTACTGGTGGTCAGAGGGCCTGGTGGCGCCAGTGTCCAGCAGCTTCGCCTCTGTCAGTGCGCCCCAGGTGAATGGGTGGATGACTGGATGTGTAAAGCGCTTTGGGGTCCTTAGGGACTAGTAAATACAAATACAGGCCATTTACCATAACATCATAGCAGGGGGGTTAAATGGGGGATCGTCTATAGCAGAAAGCAATTTTTGAACAGTTCAGTTTGTCCTTAAAAAAAAAAAAAAAAACCCAAAGAAAACTGAGAGACACAAATGCATATAAGGTGAAACAAAACTGCTACAAAGACATGACATTTGGTACAGAGTGGCTAGAAAGACTCCAAGATTTCACAAATAAATGCAAAACATCTGCAGAGATATGAAGATGCTATAAAGAGACACAGATCCAAAATCCTGAACAGGGCTGAAATCAAACAGTTCATGCCTGTGATGGATTTGTACATAGCCGCTGTCAAGGCTTTGCTTTTGTGTACTCCATTACTTGCAGGACCCCCGGGAACTGATCGATGATGTGCAGATGATCTGAAATGACGACAGCTACTGAGATGCACAGAATGACTTTTAAGGGCCACAAAATGACAGTAGAGCAACTCAAAATTATTACATGAGAAAGCAAGAGTATAAAAATACACAACTACCAGAAAAAGAAAGGAAAAGGAACCACAGAACACGCTAAATGAGCAAAAGAACAAGCAAAACTGTGTGGATGTGCACACAGGTGTTGCAGATTGACTCAGAAGGTCTAAAATAGACACATTCATGGGATAAAAAGTACAAAATGACCTTAAAGACGTGCACAACTGCAACAAGACAGTAAAATGATTACAGAAAGAAGAGGCACCAAAGAGGGCTGAAACACGTCATCATCTGTTGCTCTTTCTGTCTTTAATGTGGCTGCTTTTTTTCACGTAATTTCACCTTTTCAATTTTGTGTTGTCATCAGATACGCAACCAAACCACAAATGATCTATTTAGAGGGAGGAAAGCCGCAGATCTTCACATTGGAGTTTGGCAAAGCTTCTTTCTTTTTTTTTAAACGCAAAAGATGATTTAATCTTTTCAGCCCTCACGAGAGCCGTGTTATTAATCCTAAACTAAAAGGCAGATGCTTCTATCTTAATGGCATTTTTCTAAATGTCTAACTGGGAATATATTCCAGAGCTCAAGGCACCTGTGACACATTTAATGAGGCCGTCTGACCGAATCTTCCTGTGTGGAGATTCACTCTGGAGGCGCTATGAACCGTTTCAAATTTTTTGGGTGTTGGTCAGCTGCGTTTATTTTCTGCTCGGTATTAAAAAGCTCGATGGGCAGTCGCACTGCAAAGGAATCTGGATCCCGTCTTTTAACGCGGATTAGAGCTTTATCACGATCACTTCAGGCAATATATCTCATAGAAACGCGCTGCAGTGCTCCCAGTGGTTGTCATGTGGGTGTTTGTCTTGTCGAGACTAAATGTAGGTTAACCTCATTTGTTTTCTTGCAGTTGTAAGGGCAGAATCTTGTGTGAGTATATTATGTGGGAAGTTGTTCTTGTCTATAGCTGCGCTGTCATTGGCCTGAACAGGGATTGTGCTTCTTAACATAAAGAAGTCTTTGATTAAATATAGGGGATTTTGGATGATGTCATCAGTTTGGGGTTTTTTTTATTGTCATGTCCTGGCAAAATAAGGTTACTACTGAACGTTAAAGATGTATAGACACAGTCTTTGAGCTCTTTAACACGATGTCTTTGCTCGTTCAGGAGAGCAACCTTGATGTTCATTTGATTTATATTTGGCCAGCCTCCCTTTCTGGATCATCCTCTCAGGCCCTTCTGGTCTGTTTATGTTGGCTGATGTTTTTAGATTGCTCTCTCTCGTTCTGACCGCTTGTGTTGTTTACTCTGAGTTTTCCTCCAGTGAGGAAACAGGAACTTCTAAAATGGCCTGACTTTGATGTGAAGGATCATTGCTGGTGCTGAGAGCTGGGGCTCTGGTTACAGTAGAAGAGGCCATATTCTCCAATCCTGAGGGGTCTGAGGGATGAAATGACCAACACTGTGGTCAGGCCCTCGTGCAGTCGTCTGCAGGTTTAGAGCAGAGTTTCTTGGACAAACCGAAACTCGTCACTTCGCTCATCACTTGCCATACTTCGACGCCTCTGTCCACTTTTAAAAAAATGAAAGTGAAGTTGAAGCATTGCTGTTTAGAGAAACTGTAGGAACTCCAGCGTGCATCGTAGAGGCACAAATGCAAGAGGACATGATAAAATTTCCACAGAGCAGTGTAAAAATGGCCAGCAGTCTGAACATGTGGATGAATATGATCAGAAAAATGTAAATTGTAAGCTTTATTCATTTGTTTTCTATTTTTATGGGCCTATTTCTGGAACCTTTTGGTTATAAGTTGCCTTCTACTGAGACC